ACACACACACACACACACACACACACACACACACACACACACACACACGGAAATCTGTAAGTATCACATTTGGAATAATAACAACAAGCCTCTGACCTTTTACAATTATATATTAAAATAATTGTCCACTTTCGTCTTTATAACTACCAAATAATGAGTCATTCTTTAGAGGTTTAACGCTTTAAATGTGAGTTTCTTTACATATTACCATTGTTGTTATGGTGAAGGAAAAACACAAATATGGAATTATTTTCTGTACACTAAATGCTACATTTGTTTTTTTTCTGGAATATGCCAATGGAACATTGACTTTGAAGCATTGCCTCAAACAATGCAGCGCTCCATAACACAGCACCAGTAACCTGAGTGGAAACCAGGATGAAGGCATAAAGGAGTCCACATCACAGCTGTGAAGCCTCATACAATAACAATGCCTGGTTTTATGCTGGAATGGCTGCAAGTGTCTGTATTTTGGATACACCGTTTATTTTAATTAAACTTATTTTTTTAAGAGTTAAATACCACCCTAGCCAAAATTCATATGCATTAAAACAGCCAAAAATGATGGCAAAAGGGGAACATTAAACATTCTGAACGGCCCCTATTGATGCACAAGGGACCTAAATAACACAAAATGGGTCAACACACAGCTGGACATATTTAAGCCTGCCTCTAGGGGGCAGCATTGTTCAGATTAATGAAACCATGTGACACACAGGTCGTAGTACATGACAACAACACCACAGAACAATCATTGATAGAGTTTCCACAGCAACACTTATGTTCATTCCCTAATGCTTGCTAATATACAAATATATGTATACAAGTACACTTTTATAATGTACAAGAACTCTTGATATTAAATGTTGGCCTTAATCTACAATATTGCTTTGATTTCCTAATAAACAATACAGTCTCATGTTAAACGATTTAAAGACATCTCACCATCCTTCGTCCATATTCTGGCAAAGCCGTCATAAGAGCCTGTTGCTAACAGCGTGCCCTCGCTCTGCCAAACCGGAGAGAGAGAGAGAGAGAGAGAGAGAGAGAGAGAGACAGACAGAGAGAGAGAGAGAGAGAGTCAGAGTGGCTCAGAGAGTGAGTGGTTCAACATGTAAAAAAAAAAGCCCGTTTGGACACCTGTACAGACGCATGTTGTCTTTTGCAGAATTTGCAACATGGAGTCCAGGCTGAACGAATATTTCCTGGGACTCAGCTGGGATTAGAAGAGAGGCCTGTGTGCTTTCCATCAGCATGGACGCTCTCCAGGAATTCTCTTGCCTCTGCCTCTTGGCTCAGGTTTACAATCCATTGGCTGAACTAAAGGAAAATGTCTCTCTGATGATCCCCCACTGTTAGACATCATCAACGGTGCTCTGGGAGTTTCTCTGTGATGAGGCATTTGTTGCGATTTGCCTCTCTGGTGCACACAGGACCGTAAATGCAGTACGTTAAGTACATTAAGTACAAAGCAATGTTCTGTTTTTGCTCTCTATGCACGTCTGTCAAGTGTTCACATGTTTGAAATAATAAGCATTAGCAACCAAAGTATATTTCTGAAGATGTTCAAAATGATAACGTTTTGAAAGATAACCGTACTTTTTCGCTGTGAAGGAGCCCTTGGACAGAGATTTCTACCATTCGTACACATCTGAGCTGGTCCCTTGTTTGAAATGAATGCCTCCACGCAGACGGACTAACGTGTTAGGTGATGTGCAGGTGTGTCGGTGTGCTTACATTCCAGTCCAGCGAGGTGACGTCTTTGTTGCTGGGGACGTCCTGCCCCCCCTCTCGTATGCAGTGTCTCAGGACCAGCTGTGTGGAGCAGCTCGTACTGTTTTCACTCAGGTTCCAGATACGAGCTGTCGAATCCCCGGACCTGAGACAAACACGTTCAGACATGAGCCATGTTTCCTCTTTGAAATGGTCTTAAAAAGTTTGTCAATCTGTTTTTTATCAATACCATCTACAGTTTAACTGATGTTTCAAGTGACATATTTCAGCCCAATCAAACTGCAGACATTATACTGCGGCTGGTCATAGGTTGAAGTAAATCTTACAATATCAATAACAAATATTTGTTTCTATATGTATAACATTATGGCAATGTGTGCACCATCACATGTAAAAAAATGTAACTAATGTTTCATGCAGTGAACCATATTCAACAAGGCTTCGAGTCCGGCAGGGGACATCTTGTTTCATTTCTCCATCTTGTTTCCTATCATCTCTCTATTCTGAGTGTCCGAGGATAACGGTAGGAAATGAAAGGTGACCAACCCTGATGCCAGCAGATCGCTGACTGGGTTCCAGGCACAGATGAAGACCTCCGACTCGTGGCCCCTCAAGACCATGGCCTTGTTCTGGGGGATCTCCACGTCTCCGTCCACCTCCATCAGGTCTGCGTGGTTGTCTGCGCGTAGAGTTTGGTGGGTGAGACAGGATATCAAGATATTGAATTGCAATTCTTTACCTCTGTGTGAGCGAACATATGCAATATAAAGATAAACTTCATTACTAAAATGTACATTCCATGACAAAAACAACCATCTTAACTCTAGTTTTACTTTAGAACTCCATTTTTTATCCAACTACTCTTGCCAAGATCAAAAATAATATGTCCTGACCATCAGGTGCATGTCCTCGTCTATCTGTATACGTATTACTCACTAGCTAAGGCATGGGCTCCGTTCTCCTCCCCGTTGGCAGTATTCTCTCCGTTCTTGGCGTTGCCGGCGATGCTGCCTCCGGTGGCCGATGTCTGTGCCGAAGCGGCGGCCTGCTGCTGGGCCATTTTGTCCCGGTAGGCCTGCTGCCTCGTCTGAACGACGTCCGGCATCACAGCGTCAATCAGAGACAGAGACTCAATGGGCCGCCCGTCAAATAATGTGCCGTCCTGTAGCGTGGGAGGAATAACCAGTTAGAGAGGAGAGGTGGAGGGGAGGGCAGAGGATCCATCAGATTGTTTGTGTCCCACCTCATTGATGCTGACTTCAGCCTCGACGTACTGCAGGCCCTTCTGGATGATGCTGATGAGGGCAGCAGGGGGAACCAGAGCACCATTGATGTTGGACTGGCTGATGTGACTCTCTATACCGAAGGTAAACGCTGAGTGGGAGAACCCTGGAGAGACAAAGAGCAGGAGGAAGGGGGCAGGAGAGGAGAGGAGATTTTTATTGGAAGGCAACGACATATGTATATATCACAGCAAATAATACTTCCCTCTTGATTTATTTAAGAACTACATTTTAAAGCCATCTTATTCCTTCCACATCACTGCTGTTATTCTGTCCTCGTGTATGTTGTCGAGGTTATAAAAGAGATCGCTTGCACTGCGACCTCTGGCTACAACTGCCCACCAGCATTATTTACACATATTTGAATTGAATGCATAAAACATCAGACTTTGTACTGGTTACTATGCAGTAAAATGCTTTAATACCCGTGGTGCCATTAATGTGATGCAACAATTAAAATGTTTTCGGTAAACAAACACGGCCTCTATGTGGAACTCCAATTTCCCCCCAACTGCCCCAGCTGAGCTTTTGTGTTTCAATGAAAGAACAACACAACCGTGACAGGACTTTCTGATTTGCATGAGCCACCTGTGCCTTAAACAAAAATATATGAAGCAATAAATATGATACAAGTCATAGGAAGGTGAGTTTCAGACCGCACAACTTTCATTGATTCCCACGTGTAACCAGTAGCAGCTGAACGGAGCCTTCTGGCTGCTCCTCTGCAGTGATATGGGGGTTTGGTTTACACTGCTCACCGCAGTTGGATAAAGGTTACTGTCAAACACAAAGGCCAGGAAAGTCTGGGTATATCTGGAGACTCATTTTAACTCTGTAAGTTTTTAGTCCGTCTGAAAAAAGCCCCGCTACTCATCCAACAAATCCCAAGTTTACTCCCAATGTGCCACGGTCAGTACTGTGCACGGGAGCTTCATGTAAAGCATGCGAGGGTGAGAGTGACTCTTCGTGCAGCCTTCAGCACTCTTCTCAGGGTAAATAAATCCAGTCTATTAACCGTCTATGATTGATTAAGTAGTGGACAGACAGGCCCCTCAATCACCACCCCTCAATCACCACACACACACACACACACACACACACACACACACCTGTTTATAAGCCTGTTCAGTCGCGTTTACGGCATCACTTTCTCCCGACAACTTCTCCTCCAGAGTGTGCCTGTCAGCAAACACGCTGACCCGCACTGATTGTGATGTTTTTACACTTCAACATAACGAGCAGCAGCAGAGACGGTCATTTCTCTCTGTCGTCATGGAGGTGTCCAATGTGCAAATGTAAAACCAACTGAAGTAAAACAAATAGATTTTGTTGTTGCTTTAAATTGCATCAAACCTATTGTAAACTATGGAAATGGGATTTCGTTTTTTATCAAAGTATAAATCAAGGAATCTTCATTCGTTCTGATTCACAATTTTCGGGTGTGTCTAAAAAACTTTGAATCACTTTTATCGATTAAAAAGACAAATCGCTAATCATGACTTTGGTGACGCTTTTGGCAAATTTAGTTTTCCGTAGGTCAGACTTGCAGTGCAGCGTTATTGACTCAAATGCTTATGGTTTGGACCTTCAATCATTTAAAATGATGTGCAACTTTGTGTCCATATTAAACCAAAAGACAACATTTAGAAATAGAGAAAAACATAATGACAATGGATGTAAAAATCAGATCAATAGGGAAGCAAAAGACTAATAAAAGGTAATAAAAGTGTAGTATTTTAAGATGAAAAAAAAATGCAGTATTGATAGCAATAATAAGGACTTGGGAGGATACCTGACTCCTGTAGGTATCTGTAGACCAGGAAGTTGACCTCATCACTGCTAATGCTCATCTTTACTTCTGTTACACCATGAGGTCAGCACGCACACACCTAGCCTGGAAAACACAGAGAGAGAGAGATTCATTAACACTACTGCTCAATGCACATCATACATGAATGAATCATTTATGCATCGTTTGCTGGAACATCGCCCGGCAAGGCACAGTGTCGGCGAACCAAATACATGCGAGCACACATTCCTGGTAGATGACTTTGTAATGTGAATGCTTCACTTCTACCTCACGATTGTCAGAACAAAAGAGAAAGCTCCAGCTACAACTGTAGCGAACTGAGATCCAATCACAATGCAAGCAGAGTCGAGATAACAACAAAGTACTTCCAGGTGCAGATGTCATCCGCTAGTTTCACCACATTAGTTTCAACGAGGACCCGGTGAACAGTAAAATGTGTCATTCAACTTTAATACAACTCTTTACAGCCTCAACTTAAGGCTGTTTGATTACGACTCAAACGCAAATGCAGAGGCCGATGATGAATGATTTACGGTAGCTTATGGTTAGCTGCTGTATTTCCTCATAGTAGCGGTCGTGTTGACTGGAACTACAACATGTGGATGAACTCCCGTGTGTACTAAGTGCTCGCTACTTCTCAGGAGGTGCAGTAATGTATGGATCAGCTGTGCTTCTTAAGTGTTAACAAATAGCCTTCTCCCCATGCGGCCTCTCCTCCACCTAATTACTTCTATATCATTTAACAAGGTACCAATCCACTACACATGATCAACTAAAAAACACGAGGGGGGGGGAATTCTAACATATCCTGTGGTTTGACTTTTACAGTTTGTGCATCCGAGCACATGTCAGGGGTTCATGACTCAACATTGATTTTGTCTGCGGTTTTCATGAACTAAAAAGGAAACCACTACTTTAAAAAGTCAGTGAGAGCCGATCCCAAACAAGGGCCGGCTCACAGCACATGTCCCCGGAGGATAATCAGCGATGTGATGCCTCGAGCCAAGTGTCTGCACCCCCCCTCTCCCAGGGAGAGCAGACTTTCTGTGCATTTAATGGCAGTTAAGTGGATGAAACACTCTCGTGGGTACAGTGAGCGCTACGTTACAGTCTATTTCCCAGGATGCTAGATTTTCAGTCTGGCACAGAAAAACATTTAGCGTGACCCTGTGACCTTAACATTTGCAGAATGTCACAAGGGGGGGGAAGTAGTCCGGATCAGACTGCTCTTCTGACCAACTAACATGATCTACAAAATGTAGATTTCACACAGTGATGCCATTATGTTATATACTTTCCACAGGTAGTTAGAGGAGAAGATGAGATTCATCGTCAAAGCTACAGTTTACTTTATTAAGAAATAACCTCTAAACTGTCAAACCATCAGGTTCCTCCACCTCCTTAATGCCTCTGCAAGATTCCAGCGTGCCCGAAGAAAAACAACCAATCAGAGTCAAGGACTCTCTCAATCACTGCTCGTAAACCCTGATCAAACTGTCAAACTAGGCCCACTGTTTAGCTGTAAAACGATAAAGTGGTGGCTGGTTCTGGCTCGACTCTTTTCAACATGGCAGGTGGGTCACAAACTTTCTCATTGCAATAAAAAGTTTTATTAAAGTTACTAACAGTGGCTTTAATTATAAACTGAAGGGAAACAGAATATATTGTTGAAAGTAAGGGAGGGCCAATGTGTCCACTCCTAACAACTTTTGCTATTCCTGCGAAATGAACCTACAACAACAACAACGACGACGACAACAACAGCAGCAGACTCCACACTCGAGCCAGTTGCATCACCTTCGCAAGAGAATAAGGCTGCCATGGCTGAGCTGTTTGGGGATCTGTCCCTGACTCAAGAGACAGCAGAAGAAGAGGCGATGATGTTCCCTAGCATGTTGGCGCAGCGACACTTATCGGTGCCCGGACCCTCCTTCTGGAGAGAGGGGATTGTGTTTTCCATAGAGACCAACTGTCAGCAAGCAGGTCGTTCTGAGGGGTCAGATATACAGCAAGCTGACAAAATAATGCAGATCATCTGAGATGAGGGTTACAAACACTGCTACATAAGTAGCTCAACGCTAACCGGCGGCATTGTGTGATGTTGAAATGAGCCATTACTACCACCCTGTGAAACACTGTGCTCTAAAGCTATTATTAAATCGTAAGCAGCTGACGGGCTGCTTTTGCTTTTAAGTTACAAGCAACAGTTCCATGCTGCAAATACTGCAGCTCCGTACTAAGCATGCAGTGTTTAGGATAGGAATGTACAGTATGACAGCCACTGCTGGAAATTACATTTACAACAACTCCACTTCAAATCTAAACACACTGGCTACATCGCCATTATGCCACACATGGAGTAAAGTCAATCTACAACATCCTCGCATTTGACCTAATTATTGACAAGTTGCTCCAGAGATACGTTTCTTGCAGACTTGGATCTAAAGCAGCATTATACACAGCACAATTATATTATTAGAGCTGATTTACACAAAACAAACCTCTACACTCTATAATATTGCTCTTACTATTACTGTAAGTGAGGGGAAACCAAGCTCTCATTCTCCTTGACCCCCCCCTATCTATTCAGGATGCCAGTTAACCAACTCAAAGCTGGATAAGATCGATATCGATACAATGTGCTGTAGCTTATAACAGGCATAAATCACTCAATACATTTACAATAGCGTACTGTAATTTAAAGCAACCGCATTCACATTACACTGACATGACACCCCTAAGCCCATTGATTTACACCGTGTCTGCACAGCATAGCAGAAGCAGCAGCATCAGTCAGATGCACAGTTTTGAGTGTGCATTGTGATCTTTCAACGGGTCTTTTTTTTTATTCTACAACTGGGAGGTGCCAAAATTGTTGTTCATTTGTATTCTACACAGTGGGTTTTAATATCTTGCCTTCTTAAAGCAAGCAAACAGTGAAATAGAGTGAGGACGTTTCCATGTTATTGACTGCTGCCTTGTCCAGTCAGAGCCTCAAACACAGAAAACTGCACAAAGGAATCGTCTCATGACCAAATTTGATTTACTCTAGATAATCTAGACAATGCATCTCATTTCATGGTCTATGGTAATCTGAACTGAGTATTGGCTGAAGTGGATGCAGGAATTTATTTGATTCAAACAGCAGCAGCTTTGATCAATCCACCTAAAACAAGATGGGAGGCTGAGTATAGAGGAGAGTCGCCTGCTGTTGTGTTTGGTTTGAAATGAAAACCTGCAGACTGTTGAGTCACAGATCACTGAGACCCTCCGCTCAAATCCCATCTGACAGCAGCATTGCCTGGGGAGGACCACTGGTTTGTAAACACAACGCTGCAGTTCCCTCCACCACCATCCCACTGCAGTGGCGCTGTGGAGCCACAATCTGCAGCAAGGCTCCTCTGTGTTGACAGTGTGGGTGAACGGGGGGGGGGGGGGGGGCGTTGTGTTTACAAACCTCTTGTCCTCCCCAGGCCCCCTGTTG